AAGTAGATACCGGACACACGAGGAAAAAGCCGTTGGGACCAGACAACTCATCGACCCATCGTACTACCTGACGAAGGCTTCCCCCTCCTGAGTTTCTCACCATGAGAGTCATAAGCTGCAAGCATTTGCAACATGCTTGGTTCAACCCATTACTCGACTCGCCGGACCCAACCCCTCGACAACCTCAGGATATCCTGAGAGAGCTTTTGACGAACGCCATGATTGGCGGAAACCTCGCCGTTGACCGCCTATTCATAATTAAGCTCCTCGACAAAGCCGATAGTTATCGAAGTCTTCCATCTTCTGCGTCCCCTGAAAGTTTCTCAAACTTCCGCGAACTACCGCCAGAGATTCGTCGAGCGATCTGGCTATTTTCCATCCCACGACGAACAATGCACATCAGCGACGTTCTGACGGAGGTTGTGTGCTGGAACCGTCGCCTTCCCATCCCCGCACCCGCACTTGCGTGCCATGAGGCTTGGGGAGTCATCAGGCCGCGCATGCACGCAGTCTACGACCAACTAGGGTGGATGTGGCTTGACGAGGACGTCGACATGAGACGGATGACATGGATTACATCGTCTGACAGACTGAGCATGGGACCATATCATTTTCACGCTTACGGTTTCACTATCAAGCTCGATGACGCGATTTCAACTTTTGAGAGCGCTGCGTTGTCTTTAGAACAACTCCAGAGCAAGTTTGATTTCGGGTATTTTGACAAGCATCTTAGCCTCATCAATCATCAAGCCCAAAAGATGAGGATCGTAGTGCAAACAGTTGTCATTGTCATCTCTGACAAACCAACCCGCTACGGGACAATTTATCCTTTGAGGACTCGGACATCAAGAGATCTGAAGGCCTCTGCTCCATTCCTTAACGAGAATGAAGCATCGGAATGGACTTACGAGAACATGCGCGGGGCTTCAGCATGTGACACTCCAACTCATTTCGTGGAAGTTGTCGATCTGCATGATCGACGTCGACTGAACGAACTCGCCTCTCTCGTGATGGCCAACGGAGGCTCGTCATGGACTTCGCGACATAGAATGGACGCAACGTGTCACTGGGATAGAAGCTATTGTTTTGATTGCTTGATGAAGTGGTGGGAACATGACGGCAAAGGACTCGCTGATGCCGCATTAAACAAGGCGTATCAGCAGCCGAGTGGAATTTCAGAAGACACTCCCGTTTTGGAAGAGTCAGGCAACACATCGACGGAAATGATTCCAGCAGTCAAATTCTTGATCAAGTTTCCAGATATTGACCCGCCGGGGAACAATTTTGCTGATGCAGAAAAGTTGATTGGAGCAGTGCCGGAGGTGTGCCGTCTCGGGGCACATGTTCCGGGTGAGTCCGACTTGTCCAGTGAGGATATTTAATCGGCATTCGGAAGCAGTTGCAGCAAAAGAAGACAAAATACCGTGAGTGCCTCTCTGTGTAGATCATACACGCCGACAAGGCTAGGTGATTATACAGTTGCGCCTTGAAATACTTAACGTAATTCTGGGTAACAGGATGTACAGATAGTAAGAAAACTTAGCGCTACTGTTGTTCGAGCAGTTTCTATTGCTACAACTCAAGACTTTGGCTAAATAGCTATCATGGCTAAACATAAGCACTTTCAGGGAAAAGGTGAATAGGTTCGCCTTTCATAACTGGCTCGACTGGTCAACTAGTTACTACGACTTCCGCGATCAGTCCTTACCTACTGATACAATTGATACCCACTTGACGGGTAGACCGGTCTTAGTGCTTACCACCACGTGATGTCAGATGGTTCACGCTTTCCTTGATCTGAGATCGCACCGACTTCTAAGCAACAAACGCTTTGGATACTTCTATCCTCGAATGATATCCTGTACTACATCCAGAAGCTCCCAATTGGTTTAATATCGGCAAAATCAGTCCACCATTCGCAAACATGCCGCGTTCTTTCAAACTCGCTCATCTGTTCCCGCTGTGCGTGGGTGTCGCCCACACTCACGGCGGAATCGTTCCATTCTTCGCTAAGGACGCTCGAATTCGCTTCTTCGGGCTCCCAGAAAGATTTGCAGAGTCGACTATTGCACAGGCATGCTTCGTTCTTGATGGCGCTCGGTTATCTGTTCTGGGAATGGTACAGCTGATCATGTATCTTCGCGGGGATTACGTTGCAGTGGACATCATCATGGCCCTATTGGTGTACGTTGGGCTGGTCGATGGGTATGTCTGCTGGCGGGAAGGCGAGATAGGATCGGCTGTTTCCAGAGCCACGTCAGGAATAGTGATTGGGACTTGGGGGGCGTTGGGGTTGACATCCAGACTGTGAATACTTGGGGTTCCAGCTTATCATAGAAGATGGGCGTGGGCTAGATTCGCGGCACCACATTCAGCCGAGGGGGATTGTTCCACCAGCGTTAAATGAGATCTCAGGAAGATGCGGTCATGGTCTCGATCTACATACACCGTTTAGATGTCCCGACGAGCCTTGGGGAATTTGAAGTTTCAAGCGGTCGCAATATGACTGTGAGGTCCATGAGACAAATGTTCGCCCACGAAGGATATGTAAGATTGTAAATTGCATTTACTCTATGGAAAACGAGAATTCGTCTGTCTTTCTTTGGCTTGGAAGATAATAGAAATGGTTGTGGAGATCAAGTAGCGCCTGCAGGAAATGCAATGGTCAATTGCAAAATTATTAGGGGTTCGCTAACGCAGTATGGTCTAGACTACTACTTGCGCGTAGTATCATCGTCATGGTTGGTAAGCATCAGCGGTCCCTAAATCTCTCATAAAGTGTTGCAACATCGGGGACGTGAGCGGATGATACCTAGTGAATATTTGTCGTCCGCGCCTCATTAATCGATTGTATCCTCAGCGTTCGACCAATACCACCACACATCATGACGAGCTTACTAGGCTTAAACAACAACATATCGTATTTCACGGTAAATTTGAACTTACCCTCTTCACTTCTAACTCGGATAATTGACGGCCATTATTAGATTCCATTGGCACTTGCGCTTGCCCTTGGTCCGCGATTCTACTCGGGACTTGCAGGCCCTGGAAAAAAGCTTTTCGATCGACAGAATCCAAGAGAATTCTCCGAAACCCTCAGGAAGGCCGATTTGGATGAAAAAGTAAGTGAAGAAGTATAATCTGAAGAGCTTAGGGTTGACTGGGAACTAGCTTCGGGGACGGTTGCTGCGGGCTGAAGCCTGCTCAGCCAATGGTTTCGAGGCTCTTCCTCTGTACGCCGCCGCAGTGACGGCGGCTAATTCTGCGGGTATCTCTGCACCTGTCATGAACCTCCTCTCGATAAGTTGGCTGTCAAGCCGTGTGCTGTACACGTACGTTTATGTTTGGCACCAGGAGAGAGAAAAGCTTGCGCAGGACCAAGGTCCGCTTCGGTTCAAGGTGTGGGCAGTCGGTGCTGTGATCTGTATGTCCATGTTTGTGCTGGCTGGATTGAAGGTTCAATCTTGAATGCCCAAAGCAGATAAGGGAAATCGATACGCGATGCTATCCAGATCGACTGGCATGATGCTCGATGATTATGACTATCTGATTCATTTGCACTACCTTCCGCAGGAGAGCACAAGAAAAGGACCAGATATTATTCCATTTGTCCCTGATGACGACTTAGTCTCCGCGCAGCCAGAGGCAATGTGGTGGTATGGCGTGCGGTCAAAATGAATGCGAAGGGAGGTGGGTGATTGGGCTGCACCTAAGTTAGAATGCGACTCTACAACGTCGGAATTACCAAGATGGCGGTCAATAGAACTGGCCCAAAACTGCCTGCATGTCGAAAAGATGCCGAAAGAGCGGTGGCTGGTGCTATTGACGAACCTGGTCTGTCCCATCCTTCAATCAACTGTACATGTAGCATTGGGGGTGTCCTGCCATCAAAAGCGGCCGCACAGGTCGAGGTATGCACCATTTGTTTTTCGTCCCCCACTGGCCACGCGACTACCCCATGGGGATTGCCAATCTTGAGCACACAATCTGAATCATGGATATTGTTGGGGCCTTCGTTTCTGCCGTTCAGATGGCTGGAGGTGGATATCAAGCTCGGTCAAGGGCTTCCTCTGGCTTGGACATCCCCACCGGCCTTCCTCCCGCCGCCACTGACGGCATTCAGGCCGGCGTCACCGACAAGCGCCAGGGAACTCCAATGCCAACCAAAGCCAACCCTCGAACCTTACTGAAAGTGGCCGTTGTGGGGGGCTACCGGGGCTGGGCTTTGGGGTAAAGTTGGGGGAGATGGAGACGGAATGGGGTCATCCAACGGTTATTCAGTGCCCGCAAGATGTTCTCACTGACTGAACTAGCTCAACTTCGTGGTTCACTACATGTAAAACTCCCTCGACCTTCCCCTCTCGCCAAGTCGCCGAGAACAAGCGCTGGCCATGCATGCCCAGCTCTGCTTTCTGACGCTGGGCTTTTCTTGGCCTTCCACTTGGCCGCTGAAATTTACACGAAAATGTCTTGGCGACGGGCGATCCAGTCCTTTGCCCCTCGCGGGGGTGGCTGAGGCTGCGCAAAGATAGACTGGCGATAAAGGAATATGCCTCATACTCACGAGAAGCTCAAGAGACGCGCTTGTTGGCGCTACCTTTGGTCCGCGATGGATCGAGCATGCAGTCGGACGCACATGAGAGGCAATGTCGTCCCAGATGTAGGGTCCGGTAAGAGCTGGGATCCAAATCTGGGGCTAGAGATCCGGGGAATCATCGCCGCGCCGCCTTTGTCAACTGTCAATCTCGTTTTGACACATCCGGGGGACGCGCCGCCGGGTGCGGTGCTGGGGCCTCAGATGGAACATTTCCCCAATGAGTTCGTCTTTACTATGGCGCGCCGGCGGTCTGCTGCAGCGGTGGCCCACCTCGGAGGAGATGAGAATGGAGCCAGGTCGGTCGGTTCAGATTACGAGTGGTGCTTCACAAGGATGCACAGGTCAGACTGCTCTTCCTGGATGGTCACCTGCGATCCCACATCATCATCAACCAGTATCATGCATGCTGCCACAAACATTGCGGCGCGGTCAATTGGTCATTCGCGATTCTCGAAATCCGGGGTGTCTTGTATCATCTGGACTACGGGGATCTTCCGAGACGCTGCAGACACCACTTTTCACATTAATATTAGCAACCGCCAGTCTGGTTCAGCTACCCCAGACCCCATCTCAGAGCTTTAGGCCATGTGGCTCTTAAGATCTGTGCCCAACATATACGAAGGCTCCCCAGTGAGTCCCAAACGCCCGTCTACAGCTCTAGCTGTAACTCTAATTCATCGTCCAGAAGCTGTGAAATGCTTCTTCAAGAGCTCATCCAATGGGTCCATGTTTCCAAGCGCGGGAGATGTTTTCTAGCGCGGGCAAAGTATTCTAGCGCGCCGTGCCAGAAAGGAAGCTTTCTTGTCGCCCAACTGCCGATCTCAAGACAAACTCACGTCGGCGCGCCAAGAATGAGAGCTTGACCAAGTCTGACATGACCTGGTCCAAACTACTTCGCATCCCAGACCACTCCGTGGCGCCTCCTTCGTCAAGGGAACCCAGGTAAGATGTCCAGTGCACCACCTCACCCAGCACGTTGCCTAAGATTGAAACCAGGTTGGCACTGGTTGGCGTCACTTGGCAGTACGCCATTTTCTTGGAACCCATATGCACTTCGCTCTCGGCGCACCACTCGTAGTGTATACGGATCTAGACCGCACCGAACACCGTGTTGTCGTTCAGCCAAAGTCATGTCATCCAGCCCCATCAACCCCACGAAGGACCTCGCATACGGCTGGGCAGACTGACCGATGGAGAGTGCAAACGCGGGGCCCCTCAATGAGATGACTTCTCCCCACCGACCGAACCCCCTTTACCCCGGATGGAGACGGGACGCAGCCCACAAGACGCACCGACAAGATGCGGGCGCCCTAGAACATCTGTGGCGCCCGACGAAAAAGCATCATATCGGTCTTCCTGCCTATCTGGTCTGTTTGGTCCCTATCATCACTGGACAGACGATATCAAGGTCTACCTCGAGTCAGAAGGCCGCATGGCCAAGACATTTCCTGCCATCCATCTTGAGGTCTCCGGGGATTTTCTCACCCTCGTCCGGCAGTCTTTATTACTACTCAGTATGACAACAGGGGGAAAGGATTCGTCTTGGATCGACACCAGCTTTCGCCAAGCTGCCGGGGAAGAGAACAAATGTGACACTATCCGCGCTTGGTATTCTCTTGGAAGGCGTCTTCTGTAGCACAACTCCAACAACCAAAGCTTCTGCCGACGCTGAGAATAGCAGCTAGCCGACGTACATTCAGCCAACCGCTTGCTTGTGCGCTCCAAGAATAAGATCGCGGACGCTATCCGTCTGGGCAAACCCATGGGATCATGGATTGTCGGAACATGTCGGGCATGACTTGGCAAAACAAAGAAGAAGGTTTGTTGTTGGCGTGAACTGGTGTGGGTGTCCCAAATGTGACCAGACCCATGCTCCCAGCCCAGTCGATCGCGAGCACGACATGGGAGCACGGCGTGGAAGGGAGGTCAAGCTCCTTGTGCTCGACGTTCCATGAGCTCAGAGTCTGGGCATCTCCACCATGTATGACTACATAACAGCCCCCATCCCGACGACTGATAACACGAGTTGGGATTTGTTCTTCATGTTGCTCTGTTCTCAGCGACGCCAGCGGTAGCCTCGTCTCAGTCAATTCATATCTCCACGTTCTCAGCCTGAAGACTTCTGCGAAGTCTCGCAAACTCTCCCACAAAATGGCACCCACAAACTCCGGCAACGACCACATCGTCGATGATGACGGCAAGGGCAAAGACGTCGAGCCTCAATTCTTTGAGGACGAGAACCCTGAGAAGCCTATTCCCAAGACAAATGGGAAGATGGACTACTCTGGTGCTCATGAGAAGACCGACCCAAAAGAGATTGCGCTTGTGAAGAAACTGGACCGATGGATCATGGTCAGTATCCACCCCGCCATTTGGAATAGCTTGTGCTAACTCTTAAGCAGCCGATGCTCTGGTCTATGTACTGGTTGAATGTGAGTTGGGTTCTACTATGTTCACTGAAGTCTGTGTACTAACCCGTCTTTTCAGTACCTCGATCGCAATGCGATTGCGCTGGCGCGTCTCAACGACCTCGAAGAAGATCTGAACCTCACCAGTACTCGTACGTTGCGGGCACCACATTTGCGCTTCTGTCCCTCAGGCTAAAACCGATTTACAGAATACCAAACTTGCGTTTCCATCCTCTTTGTCGGATACATCTTGTAAGTGTTGCTAGCATTGCTTACTCAAACAAGCGTGTCTAACGTTATTCAGAGGACAGATTCCTTCCAACATGTTCCTTACGCGAACCCGACCCAGTCGTTACATGGTATGTACGCATTCTGTCGCCGTTGGGTACGAGTGCTCATGGGGGTGACAGGGAATCATGATGATGCTGTGGGCCGTCGTCAGTGCCCTGACTGCTGTTTCCAAAGACTTCACCGGCCTCCTCTTGACACGATTCTTCTTGGGAGTGACCGAGGCCCCATACTACCCCGGCGCAGTATACCTCCTCTCCCTGTTTTACACTCGTAAGGAGGTCGCTACACGTATCGCGATCTTGTACACAGGAAATATCCTTGCGACGGCCTTCGCTGGATTGATTGCCGCAGGCATCTTCTATGGTATGGATGGTGCTGGAGGTCTTGCGGGATGGAAGTGGCTTTTCATCCTGCAGGGTGCTGTCACCTTCGTCATCGCCGTCGTCGGCTACTTCCTCCTGCCCGACTTCCCGCAGAACACGAGATGGTTGACCCAGGAGGAGCGCGACCTCGCATACAACCGCATGGAGCTTGACACCGTCGCCAACAAGGGCGAGACAAGCACCTGGAATGGTCTCAAGCAGGCCGCGAAGGACCCAATGGTCTGGATCTTTTGCGCCATGGCTCACATGCATCTTGCCGCCAACGGGTTCAAGAACTTTGTATGTTTTGGAAAACAGAACGATGAAATGCGCTGGTACTGACAGACCCCAGTTCCCTACGGTCGTCCAGACTCTCGGTCTCGGCACTACTGTGACTCTTGTCCTCACCTGCCCGCCCTACCTCATTGCTGGCGCTGTCACCATCGCCGTTTCATGGTCGTCGGGCAAGTTCAACGAGCGCACATGGCATATCACCATTTCCAAGGCTGTTGCAATTATCGGGTTCGCTATCGCGCCCGCTACGATGTCAATGGCTGGTCGTTATGTTGCCATGTGTATTTTCACTATTGGTGAGTGGAATCTTTGGAGATTCAAAGGCGTTTTCTGACCCATCTACAGGTACCTACGGTGTCAACTCCTTGATTCTCGGCTGGTGCGGTAGTGTCTGTGGCCAGACGAAGGAAAAGAAGGCCGTCGCCATTTCCATGGTCACCATGATCATGAATATCAGCTTCATCTGGACGCCGTACCTCTGGCCCAAGAGCGATGAGCCCCGCTACGTCATCGCCATGGCGAGCAGTGCGGCCTTCAGTGCGGCAACTGCCATGTTGGCTTGGGTCGCCAGGGTCATTATGATGCGTCGCAACAGGAAGCTGAGGGCTAGCAACGATGAGACGACCGTCTTCTATGTGTACTAAGCGGATGAATCAGGGCGCCCGTTGAGCGCCGGGTGGCTGTGACAATGGGACAAAGCTATTTAAACGGCCTAGACTCTTTGTGGCTTCACCGCAGCCTAGCTGGGATAATTGGATCAAAAGACAGAACTTTTAGCTCGACAGCACAGCCACAAAAATGCCATGAGAAGTGTTACGAATAAACCACATGAATGAACTTTGAAACCTCCAGCAACGGAGGAGAACTTCAATGGGCACACCAGTATCGCTCTCGAAATGAGATACTCTCTGTCGGAGCGAAACCTCCGAGCCATCGGGACATAGATAGGCGGTCGTGCAGCTGTGTTTGTCGTGTTCAAGATTGAAGTTGTGCTAAGTGTAGTTGCCTGTTGGCTTGGGAGATGTCAACTTGCAAATGATTAGGGTTAGAAGAAAATCTCTCACCTGACTTACAAACAGCTGCGATGGATCTGCAGACTTGTTCTATCAGCATTCCTTGCATGAGATCGCCAGTCAGCAAGCTTGCCGTGCCGTATAAGTGCAGCGATCTACCTCTGCAGGGCAATCGATGTTCCCGTTTGGGCAGCTTTTGTGGCCTACTAAAGGCCCTCGCATCTTTGGGCCAAGACCAAGAGACGTAAGCACAAAACGCTTTGAGATCTTCAACATTCAATGAGATGTTTTAATTTCGGTGGTAGAATGTTGAGTTTCCAGGGAAAGGCTACAAAGGAACGAACAATATCTGTTGCGATCGCCAACAGATACATAGATCATGATACCTTGTAGATATCTTTTGCCAAGGCGACCGTTCCTCAAAGCTTCTGTCCTGTCATGGCCTCAACGGCTGCAGGCCGAGCTTGGTTTCACTTCCAGGCTTGGCTTGTGGATGCAAACCAGGAGCGCCTCCCCATTTGCTACTAAAACCAAAGGGAGGAAGTCCCCTGATATAGAAGAGATCACCGAGTTGTACGTTGAGCAATATCTGAGAGACATGGTTATCAGCCCAAGTCAGGCTGTTAGAAATGACTGCATACTCCATCGAGGTTGCACTGACACCTGCCTCCAACCAAATGCTGCCACCGCCCCTTGGAAAACAAACGGCAGTGATTAATTATGATGATCGCGAACCCCATATGCTGTTGAAAGCACGCTTAACTTGTTTAACCGAACTAGGAGTCTTTCCACGCATCGAACATGCCAAACTTCTACTAGCCGATATTCAACGTGGTTGCCTGGAATGGGTCCAGACCGACCGCCGGTTTAATTCGCAATGGACCCTGCAATGAGCGCATGCAGGTCTCCATGTTGAATGCCACATAGCCGGAAACATGACTCCATCGCGGAAGCATCGAAGGAAGAGATCCCTGGAATCAATAGGACTTCTCACTGGGAGGGAACATTTCCATTGGGCCTTTGCCGAGTAAGGTGCGTCACACTGCCGACCAGAGGAGAACTTCGGCATTGACCGAATCAAAGAATTCGGCAATGGCAGGGGAATGGCGCCCAAGTGGACTCGTTCGATGCCCCTAAAACCCCTAGCTCTCACCTAAGCCGATTCCGACTCGACGAACTACCACGCACCTCAGGCATTTTCCTTGCAAATATCAGCCCTACCCGCCCCAA